ACCCCAACTAATCTGCATTAAAGAGACACAAATATTCGTAAAATTGCCAAGTCGTGGACATTTTAAAATTCTGCGGATAAAACCGTCCGTATAGAGCATCATTTTAATCATCTTATAATATTACCATAAGATATATAGAGAGTACTTCTGGTGTTGGTATAAATGTTTTTACCAATATTCAAAGCAAACGTATTTTATGATGGTAAAAATGACTTCGTCCGTAATCAAAATGACATTTGGAATAAACGCTTAAATATCCAACAAAAGACCCATTCACCGAAATAAGTGGAACTTTAATAACATGCGGCAGAAACGTACTTAACAAGTAATTGTAATGAGAAGAAGAGTCTGACAGCTCAGTTATTTATGTCAGGTATGTTGCTTAACATTTCACATTCTGTTAAACTGGTAAACCAAGTATTCGTTGCTGTACAGTGGAATTTCAGACAACGAAAAAATGAAAATATCAAATAAGGATCAATTGACACAAAATATAATAATCTTTGGGGAGAATGTGTCACTGTGCTGTAGTGTGCGAATAATAACTAAATTGTATGTTGAGTGAATCTATTGCAAAACGCAAGTACTTGTTACACGTGCTGTGTTGTTGAGAAAGAACACTCGGATATATGAGGTTTTTCAGTGCACAATTAAAGTTTTTTGGTAACATTTTGAAATCTTGAGATATTTTTCTAGCTTTTCAGTTTGAAATTTTATACATAATTACTTTTTCATCCATGAATATTAAACATTCTAGTAATTATTGTTATTAATGAAGCACATGTTGTTGAAACACTAGCTGACGAGGTCAGTAATTGGACACCTTAAACTTTCTATGTGAAGACTCAGGAGAAGCTGTTATGTTGCTAAGGCTTTGTTTTGCTTATTTTCGGATATTTGTACAAAGCTACTAAAGGGTTGTCTCCGCTAGCCGTTCCCAAAGTGCGGAGATTTTTTTGTCGGTAACGGGATGCGAAAACTTGATCCGCAGGTCCACAGTCCATCACTGAACTCGTGAGGCCCTCTGCGAAAGCTCTACCTCTTTTTGCTTTTAATCTTTCTTTTGCTTGTTTCTTTTTCTGTAATTAAAGATGATTGTACAAACTCTGTAGTTGCTTAAACTTTAAAGTATATTATGTCTAGTATATATATATATGTATCAGGTACATTATATAAGTCTAGAAGTTTCCAATAGTTAAAAGCAAAATCAGGGTTTCGTATATTTTTTCCTGTTAATATCTTCAGTATTTTGTAGTTCATGGTGAATTTTGGCTTTTTCATGCGCATGCTATTTTTTTGTCTCAGAAATAAAATATTTAGTTATAGACAACGATAATGGGAATACATTGCAAACAATGAAGCTATAGGTGTACGTGTCTGTGAGTTTATGAATACGGCTTAAATGCTATCTGCATTTACGCATCAGTTGAAATACCTGCAGATATCTGATGAATTACTTCGAGATAACTTAGATCCATAAGAAGTAAACTGTATTCGCAAATCACATTAAATTCAATCAGAGTTTGTCTAGTGGTTAACATGAAGGGTTTTGGACTGGAAGGTCCTTTCTTTGTTGTAGTCTTGTTTTTTGTTTTTTTGGGGGGGGTAATTCTCCTGAGTGTAAATAAATCAGGGTAAATTAATATAGAATATGCGGATTCTGACAGATAAAGAACTTTCGTTCCCAGAAACGTTTTACAACGGCTGGGTTCGCTGGGGTTGTTTAGGCTATAATTCACGCACTTAAACGTCCGTACCGTTACATGGGTGATTAGGGTAAAGTAGAAGAAAACGGGGCGTTAAATAAGCTTCTCCTTGAGCACGTGAAGTTTTGAACTTGTTGCCGTATCCTGACTGAGTTCAAGTATCGCGATCAGAAACTTTATATGGTAAAGTGTAACGTAAATTTAACGTAAAATTTAACTCTTGGGATGAAAATTTCATTCCCGTGTATGTTGCAAATAGATCCATATTTGAAATTTTGTAACCTTCCCTTCTCTATTATAGGGGTTACATGTTTATGTTTGCCTAGTCACCATTTCTTTCTATGCATGCCTAGTCAGTTTTGTTTTATAAATACCACTTTAAAAAGTATTTACAAGTAACTCTAAGCTGTTTATAATTCTCTATTTTCAAATTGTCACTGGAGCGGAAATTTATCAAACGAACTGTTAGACAGATAATGTATCAAATTACTATTGTAGAGATGTCAGTACAATGTTTCCCTGTGATACTGCGGATGTGAAAATCAGCTATACTATGATTAATTTTGCTCTTTTCAGTTGCTATATTTGGCGTCCCAATTTTGTGTTTAAGGTTAAATAATAAAGATATTGGACATATCTGATATCTGGTTTTTGTTTCTTGCGTTGTATTCTTTTAGATGTTACAATATTATACAATGAAGTTAAACTTTCAAAAATAGCAACAAGAACGATTTTGTTCTAATGAAGTAGAAGCGAACGATCATATGTGTTTTTTTTTGTTGTTTTTTACATGGATATTACGAGTGTAAACAGTGTCTTTGATATTAAGAATGTTACTTTACTTGGAAATGATACATTCTCTATATTATCTTAGGTTATGAGATTTAGTAAGGTATTTTTTTAATAGCTGTTACTTGATGTTATATTTAATGTTAACAGTTGCTTTGTTTTCGATATTTAGTTCAATTAAGTGTCCTGTTTAAAACAGAAGAGGAACCAAAATTTTAATAAGTTTTAAGGGTTTTAGACCTGAGGTTCTGCCGAAATTCAAACAAATAATTTTATTTTATCGTTTCTTAACAGTGTGTTAAAAAGCATTTAACTATTTAGTTAAGAACTAGAAAATTTTCCCCACTGAAGGATAAACGAATTGATATAGATATCATTACTTTATTAACGAATGAAAGGTTTTCAAAAATATGATTTCCATTATAAGCAAAGTTTACACGTGGAAAAAAAAAAGAGAAACATTTTACTTTCTCTACCCCAAACTACCTAAATCAAACATAATGGAACGTGGTAAGGCTTTACAAAGTGACCATTCGCTAAGAATAACGATAAGTTTCAAATATGTTATTTTATTTATAAGCAAAGTGTGCACGTGAAAAAAAAAGCGTTTCACTTTCTCTACCCCAAGCTACCTAAACCAAACGTAAGATAATGGAACGTGGTAAGACTTTACAAAGAAAAACTTTAATATAAGTTTAACATAACAATAGATGTACAACGTTTTGACAAGGTACCTGATGATGACAAAACCTTGTCGAAACGTTGTACATTTGTTATTATGTTAAACTTATATTAATTTTTTTCTTTATTACCCATTCAAGCCGTCTCCAAGCATTATTATCTATCTTATGTCTAAGCTGTTATTTTCAGTATCGTATCAGCACTTGCGACTGTATTAAAAGCTGACGAGTAAGCTGTTCAATTCTACTTCTTCATTAATTATTTGTTAACACTTAGAAAACCAATTGACATATCTTATGAGTTTTTCACAATTCAACCTTGCGACTTATGACGGCTGAGACTAGATAATTTAACTGATTAAAACGTATGGCCGATAAACAAAGACTAGGGCTCAGATTTTCTCCCCTTCTCCAGAAACTTGAAAAACAATGGAGTAGTTTCAATTTTAAACGATGTGTGTATTATTTTATACAGTATTTCTAATTGTAAAAGTTCAGTAGATCGCCCAATGACTTTTGTAGCAGAAAAGTTCGGTTTTATACCTCAAAAGATTATTATTTTTTCCCCTGAAACATTTTGTTTTTCACATAACTCTCCAGTTAAGTTCAACAAAGAATTACTAGCTAAACTTTCAAACCCCTTTCACATTACGTGCAGTAGTTTCAGTAAAGGTAATTCGACATTTACTGCACACTCTCTACTTTACAGTGAAATATTTGGAGATAAAGTCCAAATAAGGCCAGATCTAACTACTAAGTAAACATTTTACAAACTAATTTACGTAGGTCACAAGTGCTAACAGTTTGTCTGTATTATATAACCTTAGTTTGTTGAAATACCCACCCAGTGGATCGTTAGTTCATGCTTTGTTTTAAACTGCTAAACTTTTAAACTGGGTTACCATGTATCTGAACTATTATTTGATAAAAGACTATATGTGGGTGTCCGTTTGTAAGTGAACCGATTTTAATCAAACCTTGCACGTACTCTTAAGAATATCTGAGGAAGAACAAAGGGGGGTCAGCGTTTCTATCTGACCTCTATGCCCCCCCCCCCCAAATGTCCCTCGATCGTCCCTGCTGTGTATTGAACGGATACTTCAGCTAATGGAGAAGCTGTCTGTTATTACTGAGTTCATAATAAAAGAAATAAATAAATGTTATTATATCTAAACTATTACTTGACAGAAGTCTGTTTGTTGTGTCCGCTTATAACTGGCGAACCGCTAGAACATTTGTCACCAATCCTTGCATTTCCCTTTGGGTTCCATTTGAGTGACATATAGGTACTGATGTTCGTATCTGACTCCCCTATGTCACCCCTCCGAGTCTCTATGTATTTCCCATGCATTGTATCTGCTTATAATCGGCAAACTGCTGGACCGA